AGGAAGCTTGTACAATAGAAATAATTATATAAATAAAAAACTCGAAATCTAATCGAGTTCGATCCGGACTTTCATTTTTAAAAATGTTTTAAAAGCTTCCTGAAGATGTCAATTCTTACCTAGTAAAGTTTTGTAATAGGCTTCAAAGAAAAACGTGCAAAAAATGGCAAAAATGGCTGGTTTTGGCGATTTTACGCTTCTAGGGTCTTTTTGCGCCAATATTCGTCAAGTTTTTAATGCGACATAATTTACTTAAAAAACACTTTGTGAAACGTTAATTAACCTAAATGAATAATATTTAACTCAACGATGCCATTTAAATCATTTTAAAATTTTTTCAAACGCTTGTATGACTTGAATAAAAGTGTCCGGGTATTGAGATGTGGCCGGGTTTTGGTACAGTCACTCTGTGACCACTTTTGCCAAAAACTTTATCTGTACCTTCTTCTACTGATATGCATTGAGGAGCGCGCCTCGCGCTCCCTCTGGCAAGTATGACAGAGAGAGAGCTGCGGCGTTACGCTACTCATATACACAGCATCGTAAAAATATACTTCGCGCCATTCAAGAAATCATAGAGCTATATGGAATAATTAGCACGTAAAATGTAATATATAATATAGATGTAAGGCTTACTACAGATGAATTATTTGGCTCGGTGATCATGCAAATCGAAGTTGGAATTTAAATTTTGCGACTTTTTCCTCGCTCTTGAATATTTTGAAAGTAAGAAGGCATGAGAGTGTTGTGTTTTACCTTTTGATCTGGCAATGCACATTCGTAATTTTTGCTACCATTAGCGTAGCGTCGGCTCGTTAAAAAGATTGCTGGAATATTGATCGACAAAACTGAGAAAGGGCCGCGTGCGACACATATTTTTGATTAAGTATATTGCTTCATGCTTTGCGCGCGCACACCTACTATGGTATGCTTGGCAATGCCCCATGTATGAAAGGAGCACTCGGGTACTTGTTCAAGCTGTAACACGTGGCTCTGCGATGAGCCAACAATTTCATATCACCCGCGCCGGGCTTACTACGTATATAAAATAGAGATATGTCGATGGCTGCATTATTCGACTATTGTGCGTAAGATGCTGATTTTAATTATTCTCTAATAGAACATAAAAAGTTTCGTCGTGCTATTTATAAACGACTATATTTCGCAATGTACATTAGCTTATATATAAATATGTTTGTAAGTGTTGAGGGTGTGAAAAATAATCGATTGAGTCGAGTATTTTTCTCGAATTCGAGTCGAGTTTTCGATTTTTCGAATACTTGAGTTTCTTCGGGTACCGAGTTTTTCGAGTACTCTATAAACTAGATACTAGTATAGACCCTCCTTCTGATCCATTCGCGGTTTTTGGGTTCGCTTATTCGCGATTTTTCGGATCCATAGTCAAATTCATTGTTTACAATGTTCATTGTTACTAGGTTATCCAAATCGGTTAAAGCATATTTAATCAATTCAGCAAAGACTCAAAAATATTTTTAAAAATCTCAAGTTTCCAATTTTCGTCAAAATTATTCGTCATTCTAGTAAATACGACTTTCTTCAACCAACTGTTATAAAAATGGGAAACGCCTGACGCAGGTGTTGTATAAAGTTGGAGACTGGAAATGGCGACTAATCAAAATCTATTACAGACAATTTAGTAAAAAAAGAACTAAACTTAAATTCTTTCAATATTTTTTTTTTTAATGTGGCAATGAATCATGATTTGTAAACATTTTAAGATTAAGTATGGCGGGTCTATTATAAGACTCTGCTACGGTATATCACTATATTTTGAATGATATTAACGCATACATATTTTTATGTAAAATTTTATGCCCTTTCAGAATCTGGGCTCAAATTTAAGATTTGATTCTTCGTCAAAAGGTTATGGTTGTTTAAACAAAAACAAACGTAAAAATTTGCGCGAAAAATCAACTTTAAGACATTTTTTCGAAGTGTTGCAGTATAAAACTCGAGATATAAATATGATGAGAGGTAATCATAAGTGTAAAAATACCGTAGGAAATTTTCCCAAATTTTTTTATCTACTTTTTCTAACAAAATAGCGTCCCTCAAGTGAAATGTTTATAAAAAACCAAACTCGATTTTTATCTTGAAAACCATTGGGTTTAGAGAAAAAGTTTATGGAACAAAAAAGTCATAAATTTATCGAGAAAAAGACCCAAATTTTTTGAGAATTTTCGGAGACGATTTTCAATTTTCCGACAATTCGTCGAGTCCAATCTCTTTAAAAAAAATCTCAAAAAATTCTGAAAATATTTGAGAATGTTTCTCGATAAATTTTGAGATTTTCTTGTTCTATAAACTTTTTCTCTAAACTTCATTGTTTTTGAGTAAAAAATTATATTATTCTCACACGTACATGTATTTCTTGCATGATAATATACATGACACTCGTGCCCGACTCCTATGGCACAATTGCCCGCCATTGAAAAAAGACAGGCCATTGTGACAAATTTTTTGAAATTCAATAAAAAATTGAAATTTCATTGTAATTTTCCAATTTTAATATATGTTATAGAGCTTGAGCTCCCCTTTGCAATGATCGTTTGAGATTTAAAAAATTTTAAAAATTCGCTTCTGGACGTAAGTTTGAATTTTGGGTGGCACTCATGCCCGTCTCTCCCCTATATGAGTAATTTTGCCATACTTTTAAAAAAGAAGCTCTAAAAAAATTTACAAAAAATGTTGACATGCGCTGTTAGTAATTAATTGTTCTTATTATTTATGAAAAATGTGAGCCAAATGACTGCTGTAACTCTTTTTCATTCGTGTTTTTTTGTAATTTCCATTTGGGGGGGGGGGGCAGTTGACGCGTTAAAGCCTATATACTACAGTAGGTTACAAAGTTTTCAAAGACGCAGGTCGATTTTTTAATTTTTTATTAAATGGATCCATTGTATAAAAATTAAAAAGCGAAGAAAGTTCTACAAACATTATATAATTTAGATTTACATCAATGGAACTAAATGATGTTCACTTGCTGCCATTAAATTGTTTTTGAAAGGAAACGATTGATCAATTTAAAAAAATATTCTCCTGTATCGATGCAAACAGATATTTATTAACTTCCACTTGACATCTATCTACATGTACGGAAATAGCTTATGAAGATATGTTTATGAATGAGAAGTATGAAAACAAGAAGAGAAATAAAGAATGAGATTCCTCTCTATTGTTCTTCACGCGATAATGTTCTATTGCATCACACACTCCAGTAACATTAGCTGCATCGTAATCATTTGCTCTTTGACTGCTGAGTCCTATCTTTGTGCATATACAAATATCTATGTAACGTATGCATACGTAGAATGTGTGGGAGGTCGATGTGGGTTGAACGTGCTCTTTGATGGCATAACGTTCACATGTCGTCACGATCTGATGAATTTTTCAACCAACCTGATCCTGCTTGTCAATCCGACAATGTATAAATGGAAAATTTGCTCTATTAACGGGGGGGATATAGTCCTGGCCTTGAAAAATTGAATTTTTTTTTATTGTTTTATTTGATTGTTTTTACTTTCAAGAGTATTCTGTTAAAATTTCAGCCTAATTACAGCAAAATTGACGAAAATATTGAACTCCCTCGCTGCGCTCGGGCCCTAAACTACGCCGTGCCAAAAAGTGTTACTTATGGCACTTGTATCGTAAAGTATTATTACAAAACCGTGCGTACGTATCGACGTTCTTCACGAAGAGTAACGCATTTCAAATTTGTAACGAAGTCTAACACGTACGGAAAAAAAGCTAATATAACGAAAACAAGCACGTTTTATACGATCCTTTTATCTGCGTCCTCTCAATTAAAAGTTTTATTAACTTCTTTAAGTCTTCAGGAATTGACATGTCTAATATCGTTTTGTGCATTCGCGCACAACACAGTTAATAAAAAATAAAGATTGTATTTGTTTTTTTTTGTCACAAAAATGGACATGTGATACTTCTAGTTGTTACTTTGTATAAGATCTATAGAGATATTAAATACGCGCAAAAAATATATGATATTAGCACAGTACGCATTCCAACCTTATTTTAGCTATCTCTACATATCGCGCATATATGTATTATCTGTTCGAAATTTTTTGTATATGGGCTGTATCACGTCAACTGTCCCCCCTCTTGAATCTGAGTTGGAATTTGATTTTTCATATATTATTCTGCTTCCCAAGGGTGAATATAAAAAAATTATTGAAACATGATTTTTTATGTAAAATTTGATGAGGAATTAAAATTTGTCATCCAAAATCATATTTATCATCTCAAAATCCCTAAATTACCAAAAATCAGTCTGAAAGCCAAAAATAAACATGTTCGTATCCAGCGATATGGCCAATATTGTAATATGTTCATCGAAACATTAAACTGCAACTTCTGATAAATTTTGGTCATCGGCAGACAAACAGACTTCATTATTTAGCATCATATGAGTCAATAAAACATGGTTTTTCTCTAATTTTCCTTGATTCTTGGCTACCAGTCGTGAAGAAACAATTTTCTTACGAGTCACAATTAAGCTAGTCTTAACAGTGGTAATTGTAGAACTAAAAATATCGTTCATTATTATTATAATTTGATATGTACTACATAAAACATATTTCAATTGCTTTGTGAGACGGAAAACTTCATTTTAAGTTTTCAAATTGTATTTCAAAATGCCAAAGTTTAATTAATTTGAAATTTTAACACAAGTTTGCTGTTATAGTACTTGTGATTGTAAATAAAAATAAATAGAGTTTGAATACAACAAAATATAATTTAAATATTCAGCATTTTTAAAATTTGAACGATATAATTCATATGTTCATGAAGTGTGCTTTTCAAGGTATTGATCTTTTGACATGCTTTAACCACAAAACTGTAATAAGCTAGGCCTCTGTAATTTTACTTTAACATCATGTTTAGTTTTGGAATAATGATATATCAAAATATATTTCATCATCTTGATGTACCAATAACTTATTGATTTTTCTTTATTTTAGCTAAAAAACAAAATGGTGCTACCCTACGAACAAATAGTTTGGGATCTGGTACAAGGACGCCACCTCTCGAAAGAAAGAGTAAGTTTTCAGCTCTCGGAAAACTCTTCAAACCTTGGAAATGGAAACGAAAAAAAAAATCAGAAAAATTTGAAGCTGCTTCAAGATGTGAGTAATTTAAAAACAATATAATTTAATGTCAATTTCATAATTCATTCTCAATTTTTAGCTCTCGAAAGAAAAATTTCAGTTCGAGCAAATAGAGATGAGCTTGTACAAAAAGGAATTTTATTACCAGAAAGTCCTACATCTCCTATACCAGAAAATAGTAAGTTCATCAATATTTTTATGCACTAAAATAAATGTTTTTTTATTAGTTGATTAGTTGTTTCATCAAAAAGTAGTACTTATTATCAGCAATAAAACCTTGTAATACGTGGAGCGTCTCACATAAGTTTAGTAATTTGTGTGACAGAATTGCTCACTTGTCAGCTGAAGACACGAATAATATTTTTTCTATTTAAATTGAATTTTTAAATTTATATAAATGTGTATATATTTTATACAGTCAATATATAACTATAAGTATTTTATAAACTACATTAATTTTTACCATAGGCTCGACAAATGAGGCAATCGTACCGCATAAACCACCAACGCCTCAACAGCAACAGCAAATGCAGCGTGAGCAGTTGCAACAGCAACAGCAGATGCATCGTGAACAATTGCAACAGCAATTGCAGCAACAATTACAGCATCAACATCAGCAACTTCAACAGCACTTGCAACAGCAGCAACAACAGCAGTCGAGCATGGGTGGCAATAATACACCTGCATCGACACCCACATCGCAACAATCTCAATTGCAACCTCAGTCGATAATGTCGATGTCTACTAATGTCAACAATCAACCAGGCAGTAATCGAGGTTCGCCGCATCCGTCGCCGATGTATCCTGGCATACCTCAATTGCCATCGTCAAATCAGCAACTCAACGGCAATTCTCAAGGTTAGTTTCGTTTCAAATTTTAATGTAATGGGGTATTTTTGTTTTTATTGTGATTATATACGATATGACGAATTGAAAATGTACTGAAAATTTCCATTTGAGTAAGGACTGATCGTTGGCCTAATTTTTATTACTTTTTACTTATAATATGTCTAATATACAACATGAGGCTACGAAAGTGAACAAAAAATTGTTTATTCCAATATCCCATTTGAAAGTACTGGATGGATAGTTTTTAAGATCATAAAGGACAATCAGACATGCAGTCTGCTTTACATATATATTAAGCATACGATATTCTTTGAATGGTTACACAAATGAATAAAATTTGTTATTAATTTTTTATCATTTTTAATAAATCAAGTGTACACTGTAAGTAAATGTTAATAATAGGCTTAGTTTCAGGTAGTGAGCGTGACCAATAGCCCATTAAACAAAGTGAGGCCACATAGAACTAAATTAACTTATTCAATGACATAATTCTATGAGAGACATCTTAAATATATCGAGTGCTTAGAGTTGAATGTCCACAGTATTATAAAAATGTATTTTTCATCACAGCGTGCGGGAAAATCTTAAAATCGACTTCCTGCACTCGATGATGAAAAATACTATACGGAACTGAGACGGTTGTCTATCTTGCAAACTGACACTCTTGCAAACTACTGAATTAATCATAAAATACAAAACAAAAACATGTAAGCCCGCCCTCCCCCCATTCGCCCTTAATTAAAGCGTGAGAATGAGACAAAACACATTGCCGTTTTTTCGTTAATTTTCTTTTAAAAAACTTCAACAATAATTAATGCATTATTAATTAAAATTGTATACATATTTTTAATTGAACTAAGATTGACAATGTTTATCGCTATACTACAAGATAGCCATTATAATTGTTCAATACTTTGAAAAAATTTTACTGCAAGAAATTAAGTTTTAAGTACGAAAACCTTCGTGAAATTCTTTGAATTCTTTCAACTTTGCTCGTAATGAACATTAATACAAATATCTTCAGATTCAAAATAGAGAACTTTTTAGGTTCTTATAAACACTCAATTAAATGCTCGAAAACTGGATATACAACATTTGATGTTAATCTCTTGAGATGCTTACAAGATCAGAAACAAAATCAGAAACAAGTAAAAGCACATTTTTGGTCGCTTAAGCGTACATAGTTTAACGAAACTAACATAATTTGATTGATTATAATCATGCGAAGATGCAATGATTGATATAACAACGAATTATACGTAACTCTTCATGGACTGCTGTCTTTTCATTTGCTAAAACTAATTATATTACTATTTTTTATATCTATATAAGTGCAAGCACTCCCAAAATTGTAGATCTCAGTATTTTAATTCACCAATATCTAATTGCGCAGTATACAACAACGAGAAATTAAAAGCTGCTTACTGGACAGATAGTTTTTTTCTCTCAAGCTAAATCAGTAGAGCAGAAATTTTTATATGTTTATTATTTTTGTGCAAGCTTAGCTGAAAATATTTTTTCTATATTTTTTGAAATTTTCTTGTTGTTCAATGATACAATATTTCAGTTATTGACATTTAAAAAAGAGCTCGTGTTGAAAATTGAAAATAAGTGACGAGAATCATTCTGAACAATTTTACATTATGCAGACTAAACTTTTACAGAAACATTTTTCTTTTTATTAATATTATTAAATTAATATCATTAACATTATAACAATAAAATAGTCAAATTAATGCTTACAATTTTACATGCTTATATTGAGTCATTCTTTGAAATATCGAATTGATAGAGTGATTTATGTTAAATTATTGTTATCGTTTATTGTTTTATGTTTTTGCTAACAGCTTATCACATAACGTAATACATTTGCATTGATATAAAATATTTATCGAATCAAGTTAAATTATATATACCTTTCGCATGATCAATAAAATGGAAACGAATAAAACTGCTAATGAGATTTTCATACATTCACATTCCCTCTTATTATGTTTTTTTTGAGCTAAATTTTATCTAAAAATTCCTAGTAAGGATGATGATTTCCAGTATATGAGCTCTAATCTTCATGGTATGATCGTAGCTTATCGAGAAATCGATATAACCGTAAAAATATCTAAAAATTTTTCAGATGTTTTTTTTAGGTGCAATCATTAAATTTTTCCTATTCTTCAAAACTTAAAAAACAACTCGGTCATTCACTGGTGCGGTTACTCTACGTGTAAATTTTTCGTAATTCCTCACCTGAAATAAACGATTCTTATGAAAAATATGGGGTTACGCCTAGGCATTGTCATATAGAGTCAATACAAGTTATGACATCTTTTAATACCATTTCACTTAACTTTTGGTGGCTTATGGAAAGTGAGAGACAAATATTGTACGTTGCATTGACAAATTTTTTTTTTTTTGTGGATATGGCACCAGGCAGCCCCTTCAGAAGGACCTAAAGTCGGGCCAACTTTCTTAGTTAGGCCTTTAAATCCCCACAACTGCCTCGCATTCGCTCAGGTCACAGGACCTGAGGGGCAAGGAAAAACCTTGTACCAGTGTACGGGATACCAGTGGATTCGCACTTTAGGTACACCTGTAGGGAAAAACCCGCCCCCGAGACAGCAGAGCCTGTAGGTACTCTTTCCGCCGAATACCTTTAGGGAAAAGTCCGAAAATGTACTCGCCAAGAATCGAACCTACGACCCCTTGAGCGGTGATGTTTCCGTAACTATCATGCTAACCACTGACCCATCGACCGAGAAATGACGAAAAAGCTCCACAATGAGAAATAACGCAAAAAAACTATTAGCGTAAAAATATACGTTTCTCATCTGTGTACATTAGTATGTACCGGTTTTTGAACGATTTTCGAAAATTTTCTGGTAACAACAACTTTCTTAGAGAATTCACTACAAAAAAGCTCGCGTAAGATGGGCACATATAGATAATCTGGGTAGCTCGCTTGAAGCACCAGAAATTTTGAAACTCAAGTCAAGTATTTGTCAAACTAACATTTTAATTTTTTAAATTGTTAGCCCACTGATATGTTTGCGATAGAATAATTTGAAACCGTGTAATACTTTTTTCAAAAGTATAAATAGGGGCAAGTATGACAGTCTGATCCTTATAGTTTGAGCCTAACTCTAAAATTCTTTCTTTTTTAAATTTGTGAAATTATTAATATTGCGACAAATATTCGAAATTTTCATTTTTCAAACGATAAACACACTGTAAACTTCGTAATACAATAATTCAATAATTGATAATATTAAAGGTAAGAATCATAGTAAACTTAACTTTACGTATGGCTCTACTTGCCCGGCCGTCTCGATCAAATTCTATACGAACCTTACAATATCACGTATTCTATGAATTTTACAAAATTTTGTTTTTCGAATAGATAAATATTATCATTTAAGATCATTAACTTTATTGCAAATTTTTATTGTACATTTTCATCAGAATATGACGATGGCAAACGTTTTGAATTTAATACACGGATCCCCAAATCGCGATTCTCGTGTATATGAGGAGCGTGGAGTGATGCTGCTCTCGTCTGCCATAGTTGCCATTCAGAGCGCGACACGCACTCCTCGATTTTTTCTGCCTCTTTTCAAAATAGTTTTTTTTTCTCATTTTTTGCTCAATTTCGAAAAATTTTCCTTGAATACAGTAACGCCCAAAAAAATTAACACAAAATAAACGAAATAGGGGCGCAGCAACAAACTGGATCTCAGTGGAAAATTGTATATTACGTCCCTAGGGAGCGAAAAACTGTAAAGCCTCAGAGCACGTGTAATTATCGTTCAAGGCGAAGCCGAGGCTTCGGCTTCGGCTTTCTCTTTCGCTTCATAGGTGCGTATACTATTTTTCATGAATCCCCCAGCAGAAATTAACTTTTTCGTTTTGGCCACCGGGACGAAAGCATCAAAATTAATAAAAAATGCATGTTAATATTTTTTTTTGAAAAAAATTGGAATAATGTAATGTTTTTTCTGAAATTACACACTTTGTAGTAAACAATACTACCCAGGTGATGTTATTTAAAAAATAGCTTATTTATCATTAAGCTAGCAATATTAATAATGAAAAAAAGGTTGGTCAGTTTTGCGATATCATTGAAACTGTAAGTTTTCAAAGAAAATATATCTATACCTGTTATGGTAATTAAATCATTTTCCGCAAAAGTAGGAATAGGATATAAACTACAAAGACTCGTCCTTAGAATCATTAGAAACACTGAATGGTTAGTAAGTGCAAAACAGTAGAGTTCAATTTCACCGTCAGTCATACTTGTGTATACATATAGTATACATTTGCGCGGGTTTGCAGGGTGTGCACACGTTATAGAGAATATTCGCGCGGGCGCTCCGCTCTGCAAAGTTCACAGTGTCGTAGAGGGAGAAAACCGGTCGAAGGTGGCGTCGGTGTCGCGACGATCCGAGTCAGCAGCACCAGCAGCAGTTGCAAGCTCGACCTCGAGCTTAGCTAACTGCGCATGTATATACATTCATTTGACGCAGCGCAGTATACATATGTACATAATTTTAAATGTGTCTTCGCGTATACACACTCTCAGCAGTGAATCAGTATGTGTGCATAAATAACAAACCTCCCTTCTCTTCCTCCGCTGCCACCTCCTTCTCCTCGATAAAAACTATAACAACGGCAACTCGTGTGCGCGACCTATGCACACTCACTCACTTACACATTGACGCTCACACACACACACACACACACACACACACACACACACACACATGTAAATATACATTAGTTTCTCAGAAATTATACGTGTATGTACACATAAGCGAGATAAAGTAAACTTGTGCACCAGGCCGCGTGAGTAAAGAGCTTTTCTGCTTAAAAATATATAAATTATATATCAGCTGACTCGTATGCAAGTTTAGCTGCGTTTGCAAAGTATTCTTCAAGACTGGACGTACCCAACATAACCCTAACCTAGACGAGCAAGACGACTTATTTATTATCATTGATACTACTTCTGATGTTTT